ATAAAGCGATTAAACGCTCGCGTTCCTCTGAAGACAACGTGGACCCGATCTGGACCAAGCGTGGATCTTTTTCAGTACCCACGTTAATAACAATGATTTCATCAAGACAAGACTTAGCAAACCTCTTCTCCTTTCGATTACTCAAGTTTTTCAAAGCCAAAGGAATTTCTTCCTCTTTGTTTTTATTAAAATTTTGAAAATCTTGGTCAATACAATAAATCAGCGACATAGAGAAGTACTCAGAATCTATAGCGCTTTCATTCATAAGTTCCGGTTCTTCTATTACAACAGACTCAAAAGCAAAAGAAAAAGAAGACCGCGACAGGACCTTGGCATCCCGATTACCACCCCCGAGAATGCCAGACTCAGACCTCCTAGACTGACTTGAATCTGATTTTGACTCCACAGACTCAGTGGAATCAGCTTCTGGCTCATCACCCGATTCAGAACTGGAAAGATAGCCCTTCTCTAGCTGCCAAGTAAGATATGGTGCCCTTGATGCATCCAAAATATGATTGGTTGGGCCCAGACCCGGTTTTTCCCCGATCATGGAGACAATAAAGTTATCCCCCAAGTTCTCTAGGTCAGTCACGAGATCTGTAAGAAGATTGGCCAGTGCTGCCCCTACTTCAGCCTCGCTGCTGTCTGAGACCTCTTCCATGCTCTAGCTAACTTTGATGTTTGGTTCAGTCCTTTCCTTATCACTGTCTAGCAGTTGTAGATCAAAGAAAATCTCGAACCCGGGGACACACTTCTTTGAGGAATTTACCCAAGGCTTAAGAAAGCCACAAAAAGGGAAATCCTCTCCCTCTTGAACAAAACAGTCGTTGAGCGTCTCTCGGATTGGCCTGTGGACGAGCTCATAATGCTTTCCAGCTCTGTTGGCTTTGGGTCTACCCTTCATCTCTTCTCCCTTTCTTAACCAGTCCTCTTTGGTGGGCATGTAGCCCAGTTCAAAGGCATGTGGGTTGTGTGACACCTCTGCCAGCACTGCAACACCCTTTCACCCACTTTTTTTGAGCCCCATTCCTGGAATATACTGCAGCTTGTTCATGAAGTATATGGACTGGGCACTAACGTACATGCCTTCGTTCACGGCCAAAATTGTCTACACTATCTGAGCTTCCGCCAGAGTGAATCTCGAGAGGAGTATATCCTCATCGCCATGGTTGATCTCTAGCATCTGAAGGTGGATGGATGGATGAGTTCCCCAAAACAATTGTTATTCCTCCCCCGTGAGAATATTTTAATATTTAATGAAGGGTGGATGATACAGCCTTCACGTGATGTAACCAAGGCCTCCCTAACAACAAATTAAAGATAGTTGGTACATCCAGGACATGAAACTCGATCTCTTGCTTTGACGGGCCAACCTGGACTTGCACTTTTACCGTACCCATGACCTCTCGGCTTATGTTGTCATATGCCCATATCACCTGGGCTGTGGGAACAAAATTTGCCAGTTTAAGGCCAACTGCGTAGGTAGTACGAGACAGACATACATTAATAGCAAAACCAGTATCTACAAACACCACCAGCACTCACTTATCCTTGCATTCCATAGAAATGTATAACGCTTGTTATGGGCCAAGCCTTCCGGCGGCAGCTCTTTGTCCGAGAAAGTGAGCATTGGCTTGGCACCACCTGGAAAGACCAGGCCCACAAGTTGCTCGGGCGTAGTATCAATGGACAATTTAGCCTTGTCCATTGCCGACATTACTACCTGCCGGTGCACCCGTGAAGCCATAAGGAGCCCCCAGATAGAGATATCAGCTTGGATTTTCTTGAGCTGTTTCAGCACTGACTCCTCTTCTAGTTACTTCTCATTCTGTTTCTCGACCTCCTTGTCCTGTCCTGATGGCTCTGCTTGATCCAAGTGTGGCGGCTTAAAAGACCATCCACTACGGGTAAGATGATCTATCTCCTCAGCATACCATGTATTATTCGGGAGGCAGTCTCCCCAATCTTCGTCGGTATGGGCCAGACACAAATCATTGTCATCCCACCACTCGCCCTCAGCTGCCGATAAACAG